AAGAAAGGGGGCAGAGGAGAGCACTCCACCCAGAGGGCTGGTGGGGTTCCTCACGATTCCTTGTGTAGTGTATCCTCGATGGTCTGTTTGGTCATTTGGCATTGTTCTTGCTATTGCAACGGCGAGTGTATTTAGATTGGGCGTTGCTGTTCTTGGAAAGGGGTTGGGCTCAGGGTTCGCTTTTAGTTGGTATGTGTGCCAGCCCTAGAGTTGCGCAGGCCCAGATAACTATTCGTGGAGAATCAAGGGGGTCGCGTAGGGAGGGCGAGTCAATTTGTTGAGGATGTCTCAGGCGAAACGATTGTATTGCAGAGTTTGAGGGTGCCTCCAGCGAAACGATATTGTAGTGGCCTCCGGCCAGTGCCGCCGATCCGGGGCGCTCCTGATGCTATCGTTGTTGAAATGGACGATGACGACGACAACGGACGACCAACGGTCGACGAGCGGGATAATTACGACGACGACCGACGAAGGGGTTAATGACGACGAACCGACGACGACGACGACGACGACGACGACGACGACGACGACGACGACTGACGGCGAACGGCTGCCGACGGCCGACGACCGACGACTGGTGACGGCGACGGGTGGAAGATTCTTCGTTCATCGCTTTCGCTTCCGAGCAATACCAAGTCAGGCCGTGCACCTCTGGCCTGGCAGCACGCGAGTGAGCGCCTCTTGGGGCCTCTTGGTTCTTGGGGCTTCTTGGGGGCCTTTTGGGCCTCTTGGGGGCCACTCGGGGTCCTCTTGGGGGCCTCTTGGGGACTTCTTGGGGGCCTCTGGGGGCCCCTTGGGGGCGCCTCGGCTGCATCTTGGGGGCTCTTGGGGTCATCTTGAGGTGGGGGACTAGAAGGGTCCGTTCGGGTTCACCCTCTTGAGGCCATCTTGGGGGCCTCTCTTGGTCGTCTTGGGGCCTCCAGCGCTATATTGGGGCCCTCTTGGACCGTCTTGGCTCCTCTTGGGGGCCTCTTGGGCTGTCTTGGGGCGATGTTGGGGGCCTCTTGGACCGTCTTCGGCGCTTCTAAGACGGAAAAAGCGATAATGTTAAAATGCTTCAAAACCTATTAGGAACTTTATCATTGTACCCTCTTTGGGCCCTCTTGGGGGTCCTCTTGGGATCTCCTTGAGGCGTCTTGGAGGCCTCTTGGGCCGTCTTCAGGCCATCTTGGGCGTCCAGGAGCGCTCTTTGGCCGTTTCGGGCCCCTCCTGGACCGTCTTGGTTGGTGGCCTCCCAGGCCCCTTTTGGCCCGTCTTGGGGTGGTTTGGGATTCCCGGGGGGGGGGGGGGGGGGGGGGGGAAGAAAAGGTGGACCCCGATGAACCCCCCCCCCTTCCCCCCCTACCCCGGCAGAGCCACCCCGGCCCCCCCCCCAGCAGAGCTGAAGCTCAGGTTGTAGCTTTCTTAAACTCACACGCCGGATCGCCGGACTTCTGCAGAATCAGTTGAATAGGTCTCGAACGACACGCTTGTTTTCACGCGTCCAGGCCACCCATGGAGATGTCTTACTCGAGGTCGTCGGACTCTTCGCATGTAGGTACGTGCGCGGAGGGGGTATGTAGCATGCGTTCGTCAGCACCCGTTCATTTGGCACGTGTTTTCACCTGTCGGAGCCACCCAGGAGAGATTGTCTTTTGTGATCGTTTCGGTCCGTCCACTGTCGGTGCGTTCCGCCTCCATTCGGATTCGTCCTTTTTGGGTTCATCCGGTTTTGGAATTGAACCGAGTCCTGAGCTCGAGTTGGTTGCGCACCCTGCACGCTTCGATTGCAACCAGTTCTCGGCGAGCGATCCACAACGCTATAGAGCACAACGCAGTTCACTGCGGCATGACGCATCTCAATGCAGCACGGCACAGCGCAGCAAGCTACATCACGATCGATCAATTCAGCATTGCAATTGCAATGTTTCAATGTTTAACATTTCTAAGTTCATTTCTGGGTTCGTGGGTCGATCATGTTAACGTCAGCGCAAGGTTCATTATGGTGTCCTTTAGTACGTGTTCTTGGGATTCTGTCACGCTCCACAGTTCCTCTTGGGATTCTGTCACGCTCCACAGTTCCAGGGCTTATTGCGCCGCAGCTTTCAGGATCCTCGCTCCCGCGAGTGCTTACATGGCCTGAACATACCAAGCGCTGCGAGTCGTTGTTGCAGAGCTGCATGGAAAATAAATTGATCGACGATGGCAGGGCTGGGTCATCTCGGCTTGCCTCGGCAGAGAAGTAGTTGACGAACGAGTAGGCGCGTTGTAGAGGTAGGAGGGGAGGCAGGAGAGAGCGGAAGGCAGGGAAGGAGCGATCTGAGGCACATGGAGAAGGTAGGAGAGGTGGAAGAGGGGGCCGGAGGTAGCATGGATGGGGGAAGGTTGCAGGGTGTAGCGCGTTTGGGGGTAGGACGTCCCTTTCAGATCGGGCAGCATGCCCAGATGCCCGTGCTCTGGCTCGCGATGTTTCGCTTGGTGGCGAGGAGTGGGTGGGCGGTGCAAGGGGGACACCGCGCTGCCCCCGCGAGCTGCAATGTTGCTGCTTCAAGCAGTGGCGAAGCGTCCTGGCTTTCCTCCAAGCCCACCAAAGAATCTTATCATAACCTTCTGTAATCTGCGCGAAATGTTCTCAGTACATGTCTGGCCGAGACTGTCTTGTTTTAACACAGGTTACTGTTCTAAGAACATTGCTCTTGTTCTTTGACCATCTTCGGGTTCTAGGACCATGCCGCGTTAGGCCTACAGTGAGTGCTGGGGCGGTCGGTCCCTGCTCAGTGCTTCCCTCTCCGCCACGACCTGGGGCGGGCGGCACCCGCTGCGCGCGCGGTGTTCGCGCAGGTACTGGGCAAGCCGAATCCTCAAGCTCCTCTCGGGCCGCTGCAAGGAGGGGGGGGAGGGAGCGAGGAGGAGGACGACGACGACGAGAAGGAGGAGGAGGAAGAGGAGGAGGAGACAGATGAGACGGATGAGGCGGAGCGGCCGGCGGCGGCGGCGCGGACCCGCGGCCGTCGGTCGCCCGCCGCCGCCCTCGGACCCGCGCCGCGACCGTCAGGCCTCTCGGAGCAGAGAGGGAGAATCCTGGATGGCCTGGGCGAAGATATGGCGGCGTGAAAGAGGCGAGGGAGGCGGTCACAGTGAGGACAGCTGCCTGACTCGTCTCAAAGGATGCTGAGCATTCAGGATGCGAGGGGGTTGTAGATCGTGCTGTCGAACGAGGTACCATGCAGGGACCTCTCTGACTCCGCCAGTTGCGTCAGCTGGTGAAGTTCCTTATCTAGCTAGAGCGCGTGGCCAGAAGCGACATACGCCTCGCCGTTCACACAAGCGCCGTGCGGTAATCTTTTTCATGCACGATACGGTTTCGGGTTCGGTATCAGCAATCGTTCCAGCTGCTTCGCCGTGTGAAGAGGGCAACTATTGCCCAAATAGGCTTTCCCTAAATTGTCGTTCTATTGGCTTCTGTTGAAGGGCCGTTGAAGCTTGGGCCTGCGCTGGCCAGTTCGCCAAGGGTTTCTCGTTTTTTCAGTAGGGTTGCCCGAGCGTCTTTGGTATCGTTTTCTTGCAGCGGCATTCCTCGGAGCTCCTTCTGCCCTGATTGCTTGCAGTGACGTGATTTGAGATTATCCTTGGTCTTGCGTTCCTGCAGTGGCGTTCCTTGGGTTCCTTGGGCTCGGTGTCTCGTTTTCTTGGGTTCCTTGGTCTTGTTTCCTTGCCTCCTTCCTTGGGGTTCTCGGCCTTGGTTCCTTGGTTCCGTTGGCTTGGTTCCTTAGTTTCCTGGTGTTGGGTTCTTGTTTCCTTGGTCTTTGTTCAATGGTCTTTGTTCCATGTTTCCTTTGTCTTGGTTTCTTGCTGGCTCGCAATGCAACGCCAAGCAATGCAAAGCAATGCCAAACAATGCCAATCAATATTATGCAACTACAAGCAATGCCACGCCATGCCAAGCATTGCCAAGCAACCCAACACCATGCCAATCCAAGCATTGTCACGGAAAGCGTCCATGCAGTATGAAGATTCCTCATTGGGGCCGCACCGTGTCTATTCAATCGGTTCATTCATTCCGCAGGCCCATAATTATTGTGTTACCGTTGGCGTTTGTCCGCATGCTCCCGGCCAATGCGGCGCTGCTGGGTGGTTGTAGTTTTCTCGACCTGTTTCGTGAGCAGTCCTCGAGGTGAAGCAGTTGTGGTGGTGAAGCTTCTCCGAGGGGGCCCGTTTGGGACTTCCGAGGGAGTTTTGGGACCATCGTGGCAAGCCACGGGGGGCGGCGGACACTTGTGGGCCTCTTGGGTGCGTGTCAGCGATCTGAAGCCATCTTTGGGGGAACGGCTCGGAATGTCAGTTCGGGTTCCCTCTCTTGGCGCCTTCGTGGGGGATTATTTGGGCCCTCGTGGGGGGCCTTCTGGTCCGTCTTGGGACCCCCTTGGGGCCCTCCTGGGAGCATCCTGGATTATCTTAGTGCGATATTGGGGGCCCATCTGGCAACTGTGGGCGGTCGGAAGCCCGAAAAGCCGATGACGGCAAATCGTAACAACGTATCGGAAACCATAGAACGTCGGCATTTTGGAGCCCTCACGAGGCTATCTTGAGGCACCGTGGGGCTATATGTAGAACCGATTGGGGCTGTCTTGCGGACATCCTGAGCCAATCTTGGGGCCTGCCGTCCATTGATCCCAGCCCTCTTGGACCTCCCCGTGGGGTCCCTCCTTGGGAGTCCAGAGTGCCGCCTCCTGGGAGTTCCGGCATCCCTGGGGAGACGTGCCTGGAATTGTTGCGGGATATTTGTCGTCCGGGGACCCCCGCGGGGCGGCTCGCGCGCGCGAAGTACAGTCAGCCATGATAGTAAGGATGGGGCAACTTTCCAATGCTATCTTTGCATACTTGCCCCTTCGGTATTCGGCATCCTTCGGCATTCTGCTGCGCTCCCCACGGAAAACGTCCACATGGCGTTCCAAGGCCCTTGCATCCTTACCGCGCATCCTTACTATCCGGGTCGAGTGTAGCAACATGCAAAGAGCTTTCACCCCTTACCAGAGATTCTAGCACGCCTTTGGTCAACTCGGCCGGCGAATTCGACCGATGTGATTTGTTCGAGCAGTAACGCACGTCACATCTCCTCACTCGTTGCCAAGTTAAATTCGCATCACTTGGTAACCCCCCTTCGTGCACATCATATGTTACTGCCTCACATCTTCTCCACCCTCACTCGTCCGTCCCTCATCTGTCCTTATCCCCCCTCCTCCCTCCGGGTGCAAACCCGACTTGTCTGGCTGATGCTCTGGGGGGCCTGTGCTCAGGGGAGGCTGCAGCACCACTCAACGATGTGCTGTTTAATCGAACCTGCAGGGTGGGCCATTTCCCAAATCCGTGCTTCGGTGCGGATCGTCTGCGCGCCTCGTCTCCGTCGTCGTCGTTGTCGTCGGTGTCGTCGTGGTTGTGGTGCGTGTTGCTCTGCTCGGGACTTGTTTCCCTTATGCAGTGATCACCCACTTGGATTGCCAGGCATTGCACGCCGCCTGGCTTTCTGTTTGTCCGTTCGTTCGTCTGTCTGTCTGCCTTCCCAGCTCTCTGAGCCGCGGCGCTTGGAGCTTCTTAGCTCAGGGACGCGTCGGCCACCGCCGCCATCTCCCTTGTCGGTGGCCCTCACGAGGTTGGGGGGGAGGGTGCCGAAGCGAGCCCAGAGTCCACCACTCAACGATGTGCTGTTTAACCGAACCTGCAGGGTGGGCCCTTTCCCAAATCCGTGCTTCGGTGCGGATCGTCTGCGCGCCTCGTCTCCGTCGTCGTCGTCGTCGTTGTCGTCGGTGTCGTCGTGGTCGTGGTGCGTGTTGCTCTGCCCGGGACTTGTTTCCCTTTTGTAGTGACCACCACCACCACCACCACCCTCCTCCCTCGACCCTCGCTCCTCACTCCTCGTTCCTATCGCCTTGTTTTCCCCTCCGCCCCCTCCCTCTTCACTCCTCCTGGATGAGGAGGTTGGGTGTTGCCAGAAGTGGTCCTGGCCCAAGGTGTCCCGAGCTTTTCGCACCATTTTGGAGCCTTGTGGCCCTCTGGGCCTCATGAGGGGTGCTCTGGAGGCCGTGGGGGGCTCTTGGGAAATCCGAGGACAACTTGGCCCATGGACACTTTTAACAAACCCGGAATGGGGCCTACGGAGCAGGAGCATGCGGAAGGGAGGAGGAGGAGGAAGAGGAGGAACCAGAGGAAGAGGAGGAGGAGGAGGAGGAGGAGAAGGGGGAGGGGGAAGATGAGGAGGAGGAGGAGGAGGAAGAGGGGAGGAGGAGGAGGAGGAGGACAAGGAGGAGGAGGAAGAAGAAGAAGACGAAGAAGACGAATAAGAAGAAGAAACATAATAATAATAGTAATACGAATTACTAATAATATTAATAATACTACTAATTATTCATATTACTCTCTATAAGACTAATATATAATTATTAATATAATATAATAAATGTGATAATAATAGTAATATTAAATAACAAGAAAAATGCTTACTTATAATAAAACTAAGAACACGAGGAGGAGGAGGACGAAGAGAAGAGGGGAGGAGGAGGAGGAGGAGGAGGAGGAGGCGGAGGAGGATGAGGAGGAGGAGGAGGAGGAGGAGGAGGAGGAGGGGTGCAGTGTAAAACCAAGAGTAATCCCCGATGTAGGCGATTACCCCCTCCTTCCAAGCTATCTTTTCATGGCCCCACCACGGTCCCCCCCCCCCCCCCCCGTTGATTTCCATTGAGGGAACTGCCTCGTTGGAAGACAACCGTGTGAAGATCCTGAAGCATGCGAGGACATTGTTCTCGGGATGTCTGCGCCACTTATCAACCTGACTGCTACGTCTTGACGATCCGGAATCGTGCCAGAGCGCCATTCTTGGGACTTCAACACCGCGATTCAGCATAATTGTTGCACCCGCATTCTCCTGAATCCTTCCAGCACACCATTTCTGGTAACTACGCTGATCATGGGAATCCGTGAAACTCTTGGAGTTTTTGGAAACGAATCTGCGCGGCGCGAAGGCGAGAGCCACATTTTGAAACGGAGCCGCCTCCAATCCGTGAAACCTTTTGCAAATTTTGAAAACGAATGTGCGCGGCGCGAAGGCGAGAGCCACATTTTGAAAGGAACCGCCCTCAATCCGTGAAGCTCTTGCAAGCTTTGAAATCGAATGAGCGCGGCGCTAAGGCGAGAGCCACGGTTTGAAACGGAACCGCCTTCAAACCGTGAAGCTCTTGCAAATTTTGAAAACGAATGCGCGCGGCGCTAAGGCGAGAGCCACATGTTGAAAAGGAACCGCTTTCAATCCGTGAGAATTCTGCTACGTTTGAAAACGAATGTGCGCGGCGCGAAGGCGAGAGCCAGATTTTGAAAGGAACCGCCCTCAATCCGTGAAGCTCTTGCAAGCTTTGAAATCGAATGAGCGCGGCGCTAAGGCGAGAGCCACGGTTTGAAACGGAACCGCCTTCAAACCGTGAAGCTCTTGCAAATTTTGAAAACGAATGCGCGCGGCGCTAAGGCGAGAGC